TTCAAGGGAGTTGGGTTTCTCATTTATTTCCTTTTCTCTGCCTGTTATATCTTTTTGTAGTTGAATTTGAATTTTATTGGAATAGTTGTGCCATCATTGGAGTTTTGAAATCTGTTTCCATTACACAAAATATTTGCTGAGATCATTTTTTTTTATGCCAGGGGTGCTTAAAACCCACCTCCATATCCCCAACCAGTTTTTATATTTTATTTACAGACGGGGTCTTGCTTAGTTGCTTAGGGCCTTACTAAGTTGCTGAGGCTGGCTTGGAACTTGCCGTCTTCCTGCGTCAGTCTCCAAAGCTGCTAGGATTACAGGCGTGTGCCACGGCACCTAGCTGGCAACAATTTTTTTTATATTTATCAATTACTAGATAGTGTACAGATATTAAGTCATTTAATGATGTAGTAGTTAAGAATGACAAAAAAATGAGAAATGTCTTCCTCCCTTGAGACAACCCCTATTAAGTTTTTTGTGTATCCTTCTCGATATATTCTGTGCTTACAGAAATGTGTGCTGTGGGTCTATGCTACACATCTGCTGTTTCATATATGTGGATGCATTTTACAAATTTGTTCATATATCTGTGAGTTACACCTTTCACCCAGAGGCAAGGTCAACTTAATTGCATTGTTTTTAAAACACGAGTGTCTCGCGACTCTGTAGCAATAATCTGGAAAGTGGGCAGGGGATCTTTTACAAAAGAATGCCAGCTAATACTTGAGGAATGCAAAGCAGAATTAGAAACTCATCATTTTATCTATGTCCTATCTTTAAAAAGTTGACTTAGTCCCCTCCCGTGCAGGGCACAGGTCACTGCCGGTGAGCACTTTGCCCCTTTGCTGGACTCTCTCACGTGACGCACGCTGCTCAATTTCTGACATTACTTTGCACGGACCCCGCAGTGCCCTGGGCCTGAAGAATGAGGCCATGAGGATGTATGTCCCCAAGGCACCTCTTTCCGGAATAACGCGATCCTGCAAAGGTTACCGGCAGTTCTCATTTTCTTTTCTCCAGATAATTCCTCAGAAATAGATGACCCAAGTGCCTCACTCTGAAAACTTCCATCCTGTTCTTTCGACCCCAAAACCCAGATCAGTACGAAGCCGTCCCTGGGGACCCTCCTGGCCTGTCACCAGGTTTCGAGCACCAAGGGGCAAGGTGGTCCCGGCTGCTCCTGCCGGGCACCTTCCTGCTGTGAGTCACCTCTGACTGAATGTCACTGGCCTCCCCACCGCACTCCTTGAGGACGCTTCCTCCCCCCTCTGCCTTGCTGTCCTGGAGCCTCCTTCCTCATCTGCCTCCGTTCACCCATCACTGACTCTTTCCCTCGATCGCTTGCACCGCAGGAACCGGGAATTCTGCTAAGGACCGGAATTAGAAAGCGACTAGGAATGTGGTCCCGTCTCTTGTGGATCACAAAGCGTATTTCCAGGTCACTTTTGGCAGACACTTCTGAAGCCACCTGTTTTAATTGCTGTCGTAGATGAAGACCCTGGTGCTGAGAGAAGGAGGTGGAGGTGCCTGTTTTTCTGGAGCCCTGTCTCCACTGCAGTCCTTCTAAGGATCACCTTAGATCTATTACATCATTCCCTAGACATCCACATGAGGTACGTAGTCCCATTATCTCCATTTTATAAATGAGGGAATCCAGGCCCAGAGAAGTTGAGTCATTTTCTTAGGATCATCCAGCTCATGCGGGCTGAATCTTGGTGCCGATCTGAAGTCTGACCGCAGAGACAGGGCTCTTTGTTTACTCTATTCTCCTCGAGTTCTCAAAACCATCTAAGGAGAAGGTGGGAAGTACATGGAAAGAGTCTTCGAGAGAGAAGAAAGATGAGAGACAGGGGCCTGGGGAGAACACGAGTTGACTCTGGTTGGTCCTGGCCCTAGGGAATCCGAAATCACACTGGCTAGAGAGTGTGGCCCCAGCTGTCCTGGAGCTGCCCCGTCTGCCACTCAGCATTTGCCCATGTTCATGGAAACTCTGAGTCCCGAAAAATCTCGCCGAAGTATAATCCAAATTCCATTAGAGGGCAAATCTCTGTAATCTATTGCCAAGAGCTCAGCTAGTCCACCTGGCATCCTGCAGGGACGGGGACCTCACTCCTGTGAGCTGGCTCCTTGGGCTTATTATGAACTATGCAATAGACACAGCTGGGTTTTGCTGCCCAGTGTCCCTTCCTCCCTCTCGTGACAAAGGTACTACATGTTTTCTTTGGAGCACGACTTGCCCCCAATTCAGGGGATTCTAGGGGTGGGAGAGAGGGAGCGGGTATACGACCTGGGGTTAGGCCTGTGAGCCTGTCTCTCATGGGCACAAAAACCCAGAGGCAGATGGAAAACTGATGAAGCCAAGTCTCAGCAAAGAGTCTGCCCTCGAGGACCCCAGGCGGGCCTGGGACCCTGTCCCTGCTGGGCTGACCTTAGTTCTGTGAGCAACTACGTCCTTGTATTTGATCCCTTTGCGTTTGGTCTGCTCATTTGCCAGAGTTGCCACCCAATACCTTGTGTTTCTCCATCATAGATGGAACTTCACGCCTGTGGCTTAGGAACATCTTCAAATGATGCACCAGGGCACCTCACATGGTACATCTCCCTGACTCCAGTCCCTGGTGACCACTGTCAGTTGTTCCCACAGAACTTTCTGTTTCATCTGTGAACGGCTCTGATGGTGGGCATTTCCCCTCCCCTTGGCTGGAGTCTGTCGGCCTGTGGTTTCCATTCATGGTGCAAGTTCTGGGTTTGGGGAGTCGCCATCCAGATGTCTCTGGCAGCTTTTCCCAGAGCTGACGGTGGTCACCACTTGACCCCAGTCTCCTCTCCTAGGCCTAGACACTCCCAGCTGCGGCAGGAGCATGCTCAGGAGGCTCTCACCTGCCCTGCCCTCTGAAAGCGCTCCAGTTAGCTGCCTCTGTCCAGACTGGGGCCCCGAGAATGGAGAACAGCCCTCCATGATGATCTGGCCCAGTGGAACAGGGCACCTCCTTGCATTCCTGCTCAACACAGACTGAGCTTCTCTGAGTGACTTGTCTGCCTCCCAGTGACACCATGGACCTTCCTGCTACTAATATGCACATGGCCAGGCTCCACCTAAATCACATTCCTTGACTCTCAGGTTCTACAATTTGTTTTTTGAGTCAGAACACAGACATAATTAAATTCTCTTATGTGTGGACGCATGGCAATGTTTTAGGCTTGCACTCAATTAAGAATTACCCATAAGCCTCCGGGCCCCAGAGCGTCTCCTGAGAAGGCAGGCTCACCTGGTGTAAAGCGGACCTCCGCTCACCGAGATACAGCACCGCCACCGCCGCCACCACGGGAACCAGCAGCCTTGGTTTTGCACATTCTGAAGCTCATCAGTTCTGTTTCTAGGATGCCCTTTGAAACCTAATTCAATGTAACTCAAATGGCAAGGAGTTAAATACCCTAAGTCGGGACTTAGGTAAGTAAGTTGAAGTACAGACATATGATACAATAACATGTTTTATTATTATTATTATTATTATCAGGGATTGAACTCAGGAGTCACATCTCCAGCCCTTTTTAAATTTTTTTTTTTTTAATTTGAAACAAGGTCTTTCTAAGTTGCTTAGAGCCCCCCTAAGTTGCTGAGGCTGGCTTTGAACTTGCGATCCTCTTGCCTCAGCTTCCTAAGCTGCTGGGATTACAGGCATGTGCCACTGTGCCTGGCAACATGTGGTTATTAAACATACTATGCAAGAATAATTCATAATAGGAGAAACCATTGATATTCTATTGCCTAGTTTCAAACAAGAGTTTAAAACACCTGGGGGTAAACCAACCCCACTTTTCTATGTATCTAAATGCACAGAATGAGCACAGGAAGGATATAAACAAAATTGATAACAGATCATTTTTGTCCTACCTATATTTTCAGATATTACGTTCCTATCATAAACATTATTTTTATAGCAGGTTATTTTTAAAAGAAGAAACAGAGACTTGACATCTCACAGGATAATCAGTCCAAAATTGAAATGAAAAGATAGTTTAAAAATAATGATACTACCTGAACAGTCAGAGGGGACCTTTTATCAAAGGGCATAAACTTGCAGGGAGAAGATGAACAGTTCCAGAGATTAAATGTGCAGCTGGTGACGATAGTTAATACCTGAAATTTCTAGAAGAGGAGATCCTTAGGATCCTCATTATGAAACAGCACAGGTAACTGTGAGGTGATGCTGTGTGTTCATTGGCCTGACAGTGATCGTCATTTTAAAATACAAATATATTTTGAAACATCAGGTTTGTGCCCCTGAATACAGACAATGTCTAGGGGTCAGTTATGCCTCAGTGAGGCAGAAAAACGTACTGTTTGGAAGTTCTCATATTCTCTGAGTCATATGTCCATATCGGAGTCAAATGCCTTTGTGAGTCAGTTGAATCACAAAAGAAGACATGTCGTGAGTGGCCTGGTCCCTCAGAAACGCTGCAGGCTACAGGTGCTGCAGGTCAAGAAGACCCAGGGACAAGGAAGCCAGATGCCTCAGGGCCAGTGGAGCAGGCAGGGAGAGCACTGTGGGATGCAGACCCCACCGGGCCAGATCGGCCTGTTTTCCAATTTTTAAATGTTGAGAATCAATTCAAAAAATTTAAAAATATGATGTAGGCCAAACACTGGGCTGTGGGTGGGCCCCGGCCCCCAGCCCCTTTCCCCTTCCTCTCTCACTTTCTGGCCATGAGGAGCTCGGTTTTGCCTTCCACGCGCTCCCTGCCCTGGTGCACGGCCTGGCCACAGGCCCCAAAGCAACGGCCACCCAACCGTGCCCTGGGGCCTCCAGAACTTCGAGCCACTAGAACTTCTCTGTATAAGCGGATCACTTCAGGAATTGGATACAGTGACAGAAACTGAGGGGTGCAACTCTAGAGGACACCAAGTCAGTGGGAAACAGGGAGTTTCCAGGATCTGTGACTTAACATGGAACTTTTCCACAGAACTTTTCAGTTACTCTGAATGACATTCCAAATTCTCAGAAGACCCAGAAGTAGGAGGAGATCACACCAGGGAGGATTTTCAGATCTCCCTTTTTATTCCTGTAACTATATATATATATTTGCATATTAAAGTTTATATGTACTCACAGTGTGTATGTATATATAGTGTATCAAGTATATGTATATATATTCAAGTTTATAACCATTAAGTAAGCTGTAAAGCAGTATAATATAAATTGTTTTAAAGCAATGTAACTGCTCTTACACGGCAATTATTTTCTTTCGTGTACTCTACGTTTTGCCTCAGCCCTGGCCTCACTGCGTGGATCTGCATTTAGCAATTCTGTAGAAAGCCTGGGGTCTGTCATCTAGAGGTTTGGGTTTCAGCTCTGTCACTTTCAAGCTGTGTGACCTTGAGAAGTTGTTTAACCTTGTGGGCCTCACTTAGTATTTCCCATTTGCAAAATGAGAGCATCTTGAAGATTCTATCAGGAATGAGCAGAGAAAGATCTCCCTAAGTCTGAAGCTTCGTTCCTTGGAGGGCTGCAGATAAGGCCGGGCTCTGGCCCACAGAGTCATCCCGGCCTCTGCTGTTGAAGGGAACATGCAGGAGTGAATGTCCCAGGTCGGATAATGGCTTTCTCGCACTCTGAGAAAGAAGTGCACAAGGAAAGGTTCTACCCCCACCCCCAAATTTGGTTTTATGTAGATGGAATTTGGAGACATGGCTTCTCAAACCTTCCTCAGAGACATTCCTCAATTACCCTCTGCTCCATCCCCGTGGCTCAGCCTCAGCGGCTCTCTGCTCTCCTGGCCTTAGTCCTTCCTTCTGGGCAGAGTTGTCTTCCTAAAAACCTTGAATGCGCCACTGCACCAATGAAGCACCATGGACAGCCTGGTGCCTGCGGAGCGAGTCAAGCCTCAGCTGGTCTCCTGTCCTCTTCCCTCATCCTCCTGGTCCCCACAGAGTCCAGGCTCCAGCCACTGAGAACTTCCTGCCCCTGTGCTGCTCCCTCTGGCTGGGCTGTTTGTGCCCATCTTGGCAGAGCCCTGCGCATCTTTACGGTGCCGTCCATTCAGCTGTGCATGCGTGAGCGACGTCACTCCTGTACACACAGCCTGGCATATGGCACTCTCTGAGTGCTGTGTGGTGGAGGAAGGGTGCGTAAGTGAAGGATGGACGAGTCCTTGAGTCGGTTAGTGAGCCGATCAGGGAATGAATGAATGGATCAGTACATGGACGGTTGGAAGGGCAAATCAAAGAGTGAATGGACGCTGGAAAAGGGAATGTGATGAACAAATGAATAGTTGTATGAGTTGGAATGAAGCCAGATTTAATGGCCAGAGAGAAAAACAAGCAGAAGACAGGAGACCAGTTAAAATCAAGTGCTCGTAGCTGCTACCTGCGTAGGTCTCCCTGCAGCTCCTGGCAGAAGGAGGTTTGGGGTCATCCTCTTGTGTCTCTGGGAGGCTTTTCTTCAGGACGGTCTGGTCCTCACCAGCGGAGGCTCCAGGGCTCTCTGCATTTGGGTACCTCCTGTGTTTGCAGCTTAACTTGTCCCTGCTCCCCACCCAGCAGTCACAACAGTAGTAAGAGCTGCTCTACTGAGTGCTTAGTATTAGTTCATGGAATCTCCCTGACATGTGCACAGCAGGCATTCCTGTCCGCAGTATATACATGTGGACACTGTGGCTCAAAGAGATTGAGGAAGTACCTTGAGCTCCTGCATGGCTCTCTGGGTAGGGAAACTGGGATTCAAATGTAGTTTGTTTGCCTCCAAAGTCCATATTCTTTAGCAGAACATTACACAACTATTAAGATTTGTTCAGGGATGTCTCCTAGGACCCCAGCAGGAGGCTGAGGGCATGCTCTAAGGGGTGATGAAGGTGAGTTTGATAAAGGAACCTTGGAAATACAGGGGCAGGTTAAGGAAGCCAAGGGAAGCTGGGTGACCTGGGACTGGCACGAGCAGGGAGCTGCTCCCCTACTTAGGTCCAGGGGGTCAGGGCCAGGAGCACTTTCTCTAACTGCAAAGAAGCAGCCATCTGGGAGGAACTGTGTCCCTCCAAAGAGGAACCCAGACGCTGCCAAGCCAGGGCTCACAGTAGGGGATGAAAGCCCAGCTCTGTCCTCCTCCCCTTTCCTGCTGGAGCTGCCTCTGATCCAGAACCACCCTTCACAGGATGTGGACCAGAGCCCACTGATGCAACTCACCTCCTGGGCCCCCCAGTGGGTGGGGAAGGCCAGAGAGCATACCTCCACAGACAAGTGGGCAGCACAAAGTTCTGGGCTCAAATTTCATTTCTTGGGGGAGTTCTTTTTGAGTCCATCCCAAGCCAGAATGAAAGAGTTTGAACTTCCAGACAGATGTACCTTACAAATTTCCTCCTGTTTTCTCTCAGGTGTGTGTGTGTGTGTGTGTGTGTGTGTGTGTGTGTGTGTGTCCTTGCTAGACTGCCTTAGACTCAGGTTGGCATCACAGTTCAGCTATGGCCCTCTCTTCCCCACACCCGAGTTAGCCTAGAATTAGCCCAGAGCTTGACACTTGGGAGTCTGCGGAGTTCTTGGCTGAGTTTGCTGAGTGCTAGCATCACACAGGGGACTTTCTCTGGACAAGGGAGGTTTGTTCAAGCATTGCTTATTGTGCTAACTTAATAGGTTTGCATTGCATGCTCGCTGCTTCTGTAAATTTTTACAGCATGCGAGCCAGAGCTAATAGTTTTAATTACTTAACTAAAGGCCTCAATTGCTCCTTTAAGATGCTCTGGGGCCTTTATACCCAAAAGCTTCCACCCACTTTGTTTACTTATTGAAGTCAGAGTTCGGACTGCCTCAAAACTGGGCACAGATCTGGATTCTGCTCCCATAAACCACAGACAGTCGGGAATTCACAGGAAGTGAGATAGGGTGGAAGGGCTGAGTAAGTGGTGTGATGGTCAGTGCACTCTCCCCCTGCCCATAACTGGCAGGCGCCAAACCTCTTCCACTCAGTTTTCTCATTTGCAAAATGGGAATAACAAAGACAAACGTGTGTGTGAGTTTTAAAGCTAATACACATAAAAGTGATTGTGATTTTTAACAATGGAGTGAGATGATGGATTTTAGTGACTCCTAGACAGTTCTTCTAGTGTGATTTTTTTTTTTTTTAGAGATACTACAATAAAAACCTATAAAGAAAGGCAGAGGCCTTGCACAGGATATTGAATATATACCAAGAGTAGATTGGAAATTTCATCAGACAAATATCTAAATAATCCCCAGTATCTTTTTGTTATAAGTTGATCTATCTAATGCTAAATAAATGGAATTATAAGTATTAATAGCAAAAGTTGGTGTAAGAGATCTCAAAAATGAAAACTAGGAAGGAAGGTAAGATGCCATAGTCCATAGTCATGACCTAGATCAGAGACAGACAAGCATTTTTTTTGGGGGGGGAGTGGGGGGAGAGTGAATCCAGGGTGATTTAACCACTGAGCCATAGCCCCAGGCCTTTTAATATTTTGTTTTGAAACAGGGTCTCAATAAGTTGCTTAGGGCCACAATGAGTTGCTAAGGCTGGCTTTGAACAGGTGATCCTTCTGCCTCAGCCTCTTGAGAGGCTGGGATTACGCTGCACCAGGCAGGCAAGTTTTTTCTATAAAGGGCCAGATGCTGACTGTTCTAGGCTCTAAGGACCAGCCTCTACAGTCAAAAGATGCACAATCCATAAACGAGTGCATGTGGTCATGTTCCGATAGAACTTTTTTGTAAAAATAAGTGACATTTTAGATTTGGCTATGTCAACCCATTTTAGATGAACACAGCTTTCTCATGCTGGTTAAGCACTGGAGAAGTTGCCCACTATCTCTCTATTAGATTAGATTATAAGGGAGGGATTGATACATATTAAATACATATATATCGTGACACCAGGTACTATACTAAGCATATTTCACACATAATATCATTGAATCCTAGTAATATCTCAAATATCTAGTACATTTGAGGAAATGTACCTGATTAAGCTGGCTCCAACTACGAGCCTGACTGACTTCAAAGCTCCAACTCTGTCCTCTTCGTATTTTAGCATATTGTTTAGTCCATTAATCCTTCGTGTAATTATCAATAGGTGTGGAGTTAGGCCCACTATTGTAACACAGTCACGCACCACCTAAGGATGGTGGATCAACAATGGACGTTGATCCCATAAGATCATGTGGCCTGGGGGGTGTAGTAGCTGTGATAATCTGTGTAAATATGCTCTGAGGTTCCAAGAGCGATGAGGTGGCCTAATGACACATTTCTCAGAAATATCTTAACCACGCATTTCTCAGTACGTATCTCCCTTAAGCAATGTATGACTTATTTTCTGTTTTCCTTCTGCTTATCTTTTGTTTCTCTACTCTGCCTTCCTGCTTTCTTTTAGCTTAATTCAAAATTTCTCTACTCCCTCCTTTTTTCTCATTATCACCCTCCTTATGAACTATTAAGACATTTTCCCCCAATCACATCTCCCAGAAGTTGAAATACTGTAAATATACTGTACATTTACTTATATACGGTCTTTATATATGGTCTATACATTAAAAAGATTATTTTATGACCAGGACTGATTTTCAACCCTTTTGGTTCACCCTGGTCCTAGTTGGTTTAATTGAATAGTTTCTGGTACTCCATTTTAACTAATAGACTGGCTTTTTAGCTATACTTCTCTTGGTTTTTAGTGGCTGCTCTCAGGGTTTAGACTGCACGTCCTTAACATTTTCCCCTGTGCTTAAAGTCAACGTCGTACCCTCTCATGTCAAGTGTAAGAACTTCGAACCTGTGTGGGCCCCTCCCACCCGTGGTATTCTCTGTGCTATGGTCATCATAGGAATTGCATTGACTGTTCTAGGCCTAAACGAAAACGCTGTGATTCCTTTTTCAACAGGCATATGTATTTTAAAGAAATGAAGACAAAAATCATTCATATTTACCCATAAATTTATAATTTATGATGCTATCTTTTCCTTCCTAAAGGTGTGTCTACTTTGCATCATTTCCTTTAGACTTGAATAACTTCCTCTACTATTCATGTATTTTCATAATGGGGTCTGCTGGCAGCAGCTTCCCTTAGTTGTC